GAAAAAATACAGGACGAAATGTTTGATAATTCTGAATTTGTTTTTAAAGCAATAAATAATAAATTAAAGCATATTTTCAACTGTATCATCACAATTACTTGCATGTTGAAAATTTGTTAAAATTGTAGGTATTTTAATGTTATTTCGTTTTTAATTTTTTTAATGATTTTTTTACTTTAAACATATATTTTATGCCAGCAAATTTTGATGTCAAAAGAAATAAAGGAAAGTCGTATATTTGTATTTAATGTTTTTTTCTATTTTTAATTATTAAACCTAAGTGGATGTCACAATACAAACAAAAATCCTGTACCTACATTCCGCGACGTACTAATTATTCATCTTGCATATTAAATAAATTTCTCAACAAATATTAAAAAAATTATATTACAAGCTGTTTACAATATCATTACGAATTTTGATTATTTGGAAATATATTTTCTGCAGTATTTCAATATCAAAAAATGAAAATAGTACCTAATTAACCAAATTATGATTAAATAACCGCTGCAGAATATCCGATCGTCCAAGTTGACTACATAGGTAACTATTCGTTCATTATTTAAAACATTTTTATCAATACCAACATTTAAGTAAATACAGTAACACAAAAAACAGGCATTGATAAAAAGTGTACAAAATAAATCCGTAAGTACACGTGACAACATTGCTAAACCGTTGTTTATATGCTGTTGGGATACACGTAGGAATGAAGGCCGGTGCATTTGATTCTTCCTAAAATTCTGCTGGTGGTGTACTCTATCGGCAATTCGGAAATTTAAAACTGCTGGCTTATTCCAGTAGCGGTCTGGGGCGATAGCTATTTTGTCTGTGCTTAAACTGTTTAATAAAATACCAAAAATAACAATTTATCAGATCCGACAGCGTCATTTGTGGCCCCTCTGGATCTCGACGGCCTACAAACGTCAAAATTTCTGGTCAATCGCTGACCTCACTTTGACTTATTACTGACATGAATGAATGAATAACTTATACTGTTATACTTTGGTAATTTTAAAAAAGCCGTCTCAAGTTTATTAAAAAGCTGATGGATTCTTAATGCTTATTGTGCTTTGAATTCATTTGTGCTAGACAAAAAACAACGTCTTTTATTAATTTTACAATAATTTCATTGTTCTAAAAGTAGAACACAAGAAGCGAATAGTCTGTAATTTAGACATTCTTCCACTTGAAACAAAAGAGTGGTATAAAAATCATTCGTGCATTAACGTCTAAAGAGGGAAAGTGCCTGTTAAACAAGCAAAAGACATTTGCTTAGTCTTTGAAGTATTCTTCATATTTTTGTAAAATAATTGTGCCACTAGAGACCCAAACTGTTGCAGTTTTAAACTATCGTCCTTCTTCGTTAAAATATTCACAAATGTCATTCACCGTGAAATAGAACGTGCCCTAGATATTATTTAACAGACAATATCCTACCTTTTTTTTACAGAACAGAAGTGCGAATTATAAAGACGGATTTGACTGCACAGTTGAAAATAATAAAGATTAGTGGTTTTACCAACTGTTGAGAAAGTATTACTTCTTTCCAACCCACATAGTCAGCGAGTTAATGTTGGTTGTTCTTTTTTTGTAAAACGGCTACAAAAATTTATATTTTATTTCCTTGGTTCTAATATGCCAATTCATTTTTACATTTTACATTTTCTTATACTTCCATTATGAAATATAATTTGTATAAATTGTCCTGTATATTTATTTTGTAATTTTACGAGGGTTGCCTTTTATATTTGGGAAATGGACAATCCTGGTGCTGCCATCTGACAATCGACGTCCCTATCGCAAAATTCGACTTTTATCGGTATACTTCAGAACGTTTTGATGTACAGACTCTATTTGTGTTGTTTATGGTGAGCTGAAAAATTAATCTCGGCCAAAAAGTGAAATGAAGTCGTGAACATTTCCGTGTGATTATTTTTTACATTTTAAACATGAATTTATTCAACAACAGTGCATTGATGAACTTAATTCGACTTTTGGAGATGAAGCACTATCAAAAACCACTGTATAACAGTGGTCTATGTAATTCAATAGTTGTCGTGGTCGTCCAAAATCGGTTGTTGTTGTTCCAGGTTGCTGTGCGTTAACTGATATTCGTCATATCGTTATATGACTTATCGTGAGATTGAATCATCCTTGGGCATTAGTGGTATCAGCATACATTCAATATTTCACGAACATTTGCCCGTCAAAAAAATTGTTCTCGTTGGATCCCACATAATTTGAAAAACGTTCGAAAAAGGCTCGTGTCGATTGGTCGAAAGAAATGCTCAAGAAATACGATCGCGGTGATTCAAAACGCGTCTATTACAGCAGAACAGGTGACGAATTATGAATCTATGTGTATGAGCCCGAAAATAAGCAGTAATAGACTGTATGGGTCCTTCAAGATGAACCAAATCCAACAACAGTTGTTCGCGCAGGAAACACTTCTATGTGGTAACTGTACCATTAGTGCAACGTCGGATGGCCAATTCTGATTGAGACACAACCATTGGTTTGCCAGAAGTTTTCGGAAAAATAAGGGAAACTAACTTCCGAAGACGCACCATTCTTTACCAGGACAATGGGAGATCTAACACATCGGTTCAAACAAGAGTCTTTATGAGAGCTGAAAAAGTCGAATGAGTCATCCGGCGTACAGTCCCGATTTGGTACCCAAAAATAAATAACGAGGTCAACGTTTTTCGACACCCGAAGAAGCGGTTAATTCGTTCAAAATACATGTTTTGGAGGCACTTCAATCGGAATGGAAAAAGTGCCTCGAAAATTGGTTCAAGCTCATGCAAAAGTGCATAGATCTTCATGTAGAATATTTTAAAAAACAATAAAGCCATATACGATGACTAATTTCTTTTTTTGTTTTCTATTCCCGAAGTGGATAAATGGAAACCATTGCGTCGTATATTTTCATAGCTGAATTAACAATACTCTTAACATTGCTATGACTTTATGGACTTTTATTCATAGAGTTGCATACATATTTTGATTAGAAACGGTCTATACAAGTCTGTAAAAAATTATCCTCAACTTCAAACAACTTTTTGACGGTAGAAAACTTTCATACCCTTGCAGCACTACTGGTTAATTTATTCAATACTTGAAGTTTCTGCTATAAAGCAATTCTTGAGGTTTTCAAGATATCTTCAATGATTTTAATTTAATTAAAAATTTTGATTTCAACCAATCTGTGAAGGACCATATAGATTTCGGGAATCATTTTAAGAAATAGGTATTACTCCATTTTTTTCTTTGTTTTGATAAAAGGAATCGACGGAACAGTCTAATTCATTTTTAGGTTTCATATAGCCATATAATTACTAATAAAACATTTACATTATTAAGGTTTTATTAAGAACATAGACTGTAATCACTAGAAATTTTATTGTGACATTTTATAATTTAAATTTTGTAAAGAAACTGACATTTTTGGTGAAGGAAAAATAATTTATTGTCCGAAGTTATTTATTTGGGGCATAGTGTGGTTAATTTTCTTTTAACGGTATTACTTTCCTTCTGCAAATTTTGACCGAACCTCATTTTCAAATTTTGTTTTTTTTTAATGTAATCTTTGTGCTCGCGTATTCAGGTCGAAAGGTCTCTCCAACATAATGTTTATTGCATCTACAAGGTATGCCATAAATGCAATTTATTAAATAAATAATAATTTGAAAATCATTATTTGGGCAGTTGGTAGTTGACAATTTAAATTTGTTCGTTTTTGCCTGTTTCAACATATGATGTTTTTTCTATAACAATGGTATAACAGCTCTTCAGACAAGTAATCTTAACGGACATTGTTGCCAAAGAGATTCCCTATTAATGGTTTTTAGAGTTAAAAAAATTGCATTTATAGGTTGCCTTGTGAATGCAATAAACATTATGTTGGAGAGACCTCTCGATCTGTAAAAATTAGAATAGATGAGCACAAAGATTATATTAAAAACGAGAATTTGATCAAAAGCTTGTAATCACGCTTGGTGAAACTTGAATCCTTGTTAGCTATAAATTCTAAAAGACAAAGTAAATAATTACATAAGAAACATCATATCTCTAATTATGGGAACCTGCAAACACAAACAAATTGACAAACTGTCAAAAATTATTAAAAACGAAAAGTGATTATGAGTTTAAAAGAAGAAAACAGAATTTTGAAGCTTTTTAAAGTGCGCGATATACAGGCTGTTACAAATTCGCTTCTTACTACAGGGATCTCGGAAACGGTAAGAGCTACGAAGTTGCTTAAATGGGGGCAAAGTTGCGTAATCAGGGGACCAACATTATGCCTCTAAAAAATCAAGCATAACATGATTAGTTTTCGAAATATTTGAAAAAAAAAACCGAAATTTTGGAAGTCCGTTTTTGTTTCATTTCAGCCTTGTTTGAGATGATATTGAAAAAAGAAGAACACTTTCTCGTGTTCACTTTTTGCCCTCTATCGAATGGCATAATCAATTTTTGTATGTAACATTTCGTCTCTCCAGGACCATCATCAACTTCATTTTTTAAATACGACCCTAGAAATTTTATTATATTTTTTGCAAGCCTTCATAACCCCCAATAATGTACTGCCTCAGCCCGAAACAGATTCAGAAGTTTTGTCTCGAAAAATTCATCTTTAGTGTATCAGTTCCAAATTTATCAAAGTTTTTTATTTAGATTTCTTTGTTTATTGAATTATCAATTTTCTTTTCAAAATTTACTGTCAGAAAAATGTTAATTATTTAAATAAATTAAAGCTAAACTGGATACCCTTATGACTACTATTTTCACTTAAATATGTTATTTTGAGTTGTGTGTAAGTTGACTAAAATCGGCATTTGATTTTTAGTTTTCGAACATATAAAAGCGCTGCAATATATCAAGTTTATATCAAGAACAAGAATAATTTTGAATAAATACTTTTAAAAACTTCAGACATATTTTTTTAAGAGTGGGACAATCAGGTATGAAATGAAAATACATATTTATTTGTAACGATTTATTAAAATAATCCTAAGGTTTATAAATATTATATTTAGTAGCAGTAACACAAACATTAATATTATTGTATTCCAGTCCCACACAACCTCAATAAACAGTAAACAATACAACAAAAATAATTTACAAATAAACCTAGAGAAATAACAGTTGAATAATTACGAAAAAATGTCTAATCAGTCAGTTCAAGAAACTAATTCATATTATACCAATGTTTTCGATTGCACAGATTTTTATAATTATTTTCATTATTGTTCATTTTTGTTTATAGAAGTTATCATTTCTTTTTTTGTGAAATAAATATTGTAGAATACCGTCATCTACAAAGCATTTATGTAGTGTCTTAATTCTTCTTGCGTATCAAAAATCATTACATGGAAAGGTGATCCAGGTACCAACTCCCCAGCCCATTTTACTTCCACTCGATAATCGCCAGGTTCTGTCGGATCAAACTGGAATAAAAAACAAGAATGCTCATGTTAAAAAATAAGGGTGTGTTAATTGAATGACATTTATATTGCTTCAAATATCTGAATAAAAAATTATGAATTATTTAGTCAGATATAGATTATGTCGGACTAGAGGTTAGATAAGAAGTTAAAACACTATTAAGGGAATAATTGAATCCCTATCGAGGTTTCATTTATTTTGACACAGATGTGGAAAACTGCGTTTTAAAGGAACCCTTATAATCTATCTTGCTGTTTAATAATAATGGCTAAAATGTTGGCAAAGTTTTGCAAGAGATTTTCAGGGTATAAACGAGGTCAGAAAATAATCTAACTTTTAGAATTATGCGCTAAATAGTCCAGTCATTATAGCTTTTTTTCCGGAAAAAAATACTATTGGAAGTTTCTCTGCGGAATATTGTTCGGAAAGGCGTTATAAACAAAATATCAAAAAATCAACTCTAGACTAGTTGTGAAACTTTATTTAAACAATGGTCAAAGTTATGGAAAAGTGGTTTTTTGACTCGCTTAAAAAAACTGTTTTTCATAGTTTTATACAAAAAAGGTAGATATTAAATAAACCTGTAAAATGTGACAAGTCCGATTATTTTAATTAAATTAATGCAATTTTCATCGCAGACACTTGTAATTCAGGATTTTTGAGGCTCTTTGCACTCTTTCAACAATTTTATTAGCAACAGAAAATTACGTTTCTGTCTACTGCTAGTGCTGCTACTACTGCATACCGTCGATTTTCGAAGTCTACCTTAATAAAATCACAAATGATTTAACTAACGATAAAACTTCAGCAGGTTCGAGTTTTGTTAATATAAAAGTGAGATGGATAAAAATGAATGAAAGCATGACAATTGAATCAGTACAAACCTTGCAAAGGATCGTGCGGTCCTTCTGACTCTCCCGTTGCATTTCCACCCTGAAAGCTCCTTTGGGCCCCCTGACTCTTACAGTGAGTTGACCGGCACCTGCACCTCTCGTGTCGCATATGAACCGCGACTGAAACGTCGCTAGAACTCCGTGTTCTACACCTGGTCCATAAACACGTACCTGAAATGGTAAGTTTACGTAAAATCGAAGAAAACTGCAACGAAATACATAGAGAACATAGTACACAAAGATCACAAAGTATTAAGATCTATTAAGACTGTTAGTGCTGAATCGGTGGTCTAATGGTTCAAGGCATCTTTGTACTCTTTAAAACTATTGGTACTGAAGCAGTGACTTGAAACCCCAGGACCGGATGACTATATACCTATAACGTACCAACACTATTTGAATTGAAATTGAATTGTAATGGATTATTATAGAGTAAATGAGTTTACCCATGTAGGAACCGTATTTGGAATAATTTTGTTTCTAGTTTACAAGTAATATGCCTCCGATGGAATAAAAGATAGTTAGGATTCCTGTGAAATTGATTATTCAAATAAGTGGCATCTCTGGAGTGATGAATCAAGTGAGGAATAGTCGGAGTGGGTATAGCGTCAGGCCAGAAATGAAGCTTTAGGTGCTAGGAAAATTATAAAAAATGTGGGTAGATATATCGCTTAGTAAATGTGAAAAGTTCGGTAAAATGGAAAATGTTGAAGAAAAGGCCATATTAATAAAGATTCTAATGAAAATCATATAGACAGTTGTGAATGGCTCCATTATCGAAGGTAAAACAAGGAAAGAGGAATTTGAGATTTAATTCGGTACAAATTTTATAAAATGTTTGAATACCGTATCACAATTGGATAATTTATTGAGAAAACTTGGAGCAGATGACACGAAAATGATCTGCGGTAGAATAATGTGAAAATCTTTTTAATGCATCAAGAATCGAAACGAATTAAATAAAAAAAGGTATCAATTATGTTCAAAATGGGTCAGTGCAATAGTAAGAACAAACCTACTAGACATATATTTAGACAAAACATGGGTAGATACCTATGATCGGAAGGTTAGGTTCATTCTAGTGAATATGTTGGATCCTAAGATGATTGGAAAATTAATGACAGCACTTCAATTAAGAAATATGTATAAAGGACTCTTGTTTGAATTATCATAAAGATACCACAGCGGAGTTGCTTAAAAGGTAGTTTGTAAATAAGTTAATTCTCAATATTCTTCGAAAGAGTGTGTTGACAATGAAAGTTACCATGGTACAGTGGGATCCCAAAATAATAAGCAGTGATTTCATGTTTCATCCGGCTCACCATTTTTAGCAGTTAACACAAAGAGAAGTACGAGCCGTTTGTAAGTTCTTCGTATAAAATTGTGTGTGCTGCATTCTCCCAGAGCAGTCGATATTGCACAGTTTTAGGATATTGTTCTGCTGCATCAAATTCTATACTTTCACTGGTGTTGGGTACGTGACGTCAATTGGGTTGCGTTTATTCGGTTCCGGGCAATTCTGTCGGCACAGGCAAATAGGAGTAAGCGCGGGAGAAGTCCGAGGATATCTTTCCGTTCATTTAATTGTGATTGTAATTAATTTATTAGTGATTTTGGGTTTGTGTTCTTAAAAATGGAGAGTACTTCCGACAATAAAACAAATTCACACTGCTATCTCACAGGATCCAGATTTACCTAGAATATCTAGAAGGGTGCTTCTGCGAATGTGCGTGACATGAACTTCGAAAGAGTATGCTGATAGAAAAAGAGGAAATAGTGATATGGCGAAGAAACTATTTAAGACGAAAGCTCGAAAACTAAATCGTAGAATATATTACACGGACGAAACGATAAATGAAGGTCATACGGTGACAAACGTTAGCAATATCTAAAGCAAACGGCAGGCATTTTTGGAAGGATAGACTGGATTAAAATCACCTTCTGGAAAAGAGCGGCGCCTAATAATAACGCATATTGGAAGTACAGCAGCAGGATTTTTGGAAGAGGGTGTGTATATATATATAGTTTAGTGTAGTTAAGTGATAAGGTGTGCCCAGCAGGTAGGTGTAAGTAGGAGGAGAGGTGACAGGCGACAGTCTAAAGCAGTTTAAAATAAATAATCACCGTGAACTTCTTTCTTATAATTTTTTGTTCTTTGACCCCTTCTCAAGTAGTACGCCTATGGAATCTTGTCCCCCTGCACCCCTCACCTCCCTTACTCGTCTTAATGCTGGATATGAATCACTGCCCATTATTATGGAAGACGGGTATAGATAATAATTAAATATTTTTGTTCAAAAACTACAAAAACAACAATATTTGAATATATGTATCAAAATGATTTATCCAAGACTCATGACAGATATACACTTTTTTCTCCAAAAACAGAAGAAATTCAAAACTACATAAATATACAATATATTTACAAGACCACATTTAAACTTACTGATAATATGCGCTAAAATACTTGTGCCTCCATTCCAGAAGAAAGATGACAAGTTACAACTGATATTCTCTAAGTTGTGGAAATATACTATAAGGATTTATAAGGTTATTACTCGTAAATATTATCTACTTCAAATGAAATATTAACCCGCACCTAAAAATAGTAATTTATATGTGAACTATTCATTTCCATCTTAGATCAGGAAGAACGCAGAATTATAAAAATGTAAGATATATTTAAATGAACAAACTTAAATGATACCAGATAATCATGAGGTAAAAATAAGATAATTGGGACAAATATATTTTAGTTCAAAAGTTTGCCTTTTTTGAGATTAAAGATATTTTTTTAAGTTTAACATCCTGTATCTTTTTAACGAAGCGTCCTAGATGAAAACTTTATACGAAAGACTCCTCTTATAATTCACCAAAGAATACAAAGTTTCATTATAGGTCACGGTTTGTGAATCATCCTTGACATAGATTATTTAATTTCAACTTAATACCTTGTATAGGCCAGGAAAAAGAGCTGGGAAATTACCCTTTTGCGACTTTTTGTTTCGGCAAGCTGAATTTATCACCATAGATGAATATTATGTACAATGACATATTAGTTTCCGCAGTCTTAAAAATGGGGGGAAGATTGTTTACAGGGTGGTTAATTGTATAATTTTTACGTAAATTCACATTTTTCGCTTATAACTTTTTTCCGTTCATTTCCACGAGAAAACAGTAAAGTACTTTTTTTTCGTCTTCAAAAGACCTACAAAACTATATCTCGAGCGTAAAAAAATATTAATTGGATCAAAAGTTATAAACAGAAGAAATTTATTTATGACTTTTGAACTAAACATTTATAAACTGCGTTATTATTACCAGAACGTTTTGGCATCGCATCCTTTCATTCCTTATCACTGTCTAATAACTCACACGAAATCTGGAATCGGTAACTTGAATAGTTTACAAGTGTAGTGGCCTTATAAACAAATTAACATCCCGAGCATCTTCCACAATCGCACTGATTTTTTTCATGGTAGATTTCACAATAATACATTGAAATCTATCATTTTTTTTTTAATTTCAAATTTACAAGTTGGTATTTTTTTTATTTTTTAGCCTTAGTTACAAAATGAAATATACGACGCACGCGTGTGATATAGTTATATATTATTACATATTCGAAAAGCTTATGAAAAGAGCTTTAAGATAAAAAAAAGTCGTCAAGATTCGTTGAAAAACAACAGACTTACAGACTGTCAAAGTTGACTGCCTATTGTTAAACAAATTAGGTTGGTAGCGGCAAAAAAATACTGTCATAACCGAAAACCCGAGTACTTTCCCAGATAAAAATATTTTATTTGTGGTGTGGTAAGTATGTTAAGTGCATAAGAACTATTGTCAAAAGTCTGTGGGTCGCTCGATTTTCGACGAGCCGTGGAGCGGCGGAAGGGTGGGGGAAGCGGACGACAGCGAGTCCGAAGAAAATTACGATAATATTCATAGTCCTGCCGTTAAAAAAGCGAAATTCGCTTGATAATAATATATTTGACAGTCTGTAACACCGTTGATTTTCAACGAATATTGACGATTTTTTATTTTTAACTTAAGTTCTTTTCATAAGATTTCCAAATATATACAGGGTGTCCGAAAATACCGTTCGAATAATTCTAGGGGTGATTCTACATGTTAAACTATGAAGAAAAGTTCATATGAACATAGGTCCGCAAATGCGTCATAAGGTTGCTATGGCGATTCAAAGATTGCAGCGGGATATAGCTGAATTTTGGCATATGAATTGCCTTTAATAGTAGGTACTTTTCAGTGTTTTTACTAAATTATTATTTGAATCAGGGGCGTACCGACAGGGGAGGCCTCGATTTAATCTGTTCACATTTTTATTAAACGTCATATTTTTGCAGTTTTCTTTAGAAATTCTGATTCCGCGGTATNTTTTTTTTCGTCTTCAAAAGACCTACAAAACTATACCTCGAGCGTAAAAAAATATTGATTAGATCAAAAGTTATAAACAGAAGAAATTTATTTATGACTTTTGAACTAAACATTTATAAACTGCGTTATTATTACCAGAACGTTTTGGCATCGCATCCTTTCATTCCTTATCACTGTCTAATAACTCACACGAAATCTGGAATCGGTAACTCGAATAGTTTACAAGTTATGGCCTTATAAACAAATTAACAAATTATTAGTCTGGACGATCCCAAGCATCTTCCACAATCGCACTGATTTTTTTCATGGTAGATTTCACAATAGTACATTGAAATCTATCATTTTTTTTTTAATTTCAAATTTCCAAGTTGGAAATTTATTTTATTTTTTAACCTTAGTTGCAAAATGAAATATACGACGCACGCGTGTGATATAGTTATATATTATTACATATTCGAAAAGCTTATGAAAAGAGCTTTAAGTTAAAAAAAAATCGTCAAGATTTGTTGAAAAACAACGGACTTACAGACTGTCAAAGTTGACTGCCTATTGTTAAACAAATTAGGTTGGTAGCGGCAAAAAAAAATACTGTCATAACCGGCAACCCGAGTACTTTCCCAGATGAAAATGTTTTATTTGTGGAAGTATGTTAAGTGCATAAGAACTATTGTCAAAAGTCTGTGGGTCGCTTGATTTTCGACGAGCCGTGGCGCGGCGGAAGGGTGGGGGAAGCGGACGACAGCGAGTCCGAAGAAAATTACGATAATATTCATAGTCCTGCCGTTAAAAAAGCGAAATTCGCTTGAAAATAATATATTTGACAGTCAGTAACTCCGTTGATTTTCAACGAATATTGATGATTTTTTTATTTTTAACTTAAAGTTCTTTTCATAAGATTTCCGAATATATATAATATACAGCTACATCACGCGCGTGCGTCATTTTGCAACTAAGGCTAAAAACTAAAAAAACTTTCCAGGTTGCAAATTTGAAATTTAAAAAAAAAAGATATATTTTAATGTATTATTATGAAATCAACCATAAAAAAAATCAGTGCGATTGTGGAAGATGCTCGGGATCGTCCAGACTAATAATTAGTTAATATGTTTATAAGGCCATAACTTATAAACTATTCAACTTACCGATTCCAGATTTCGTGTGAGTTATTAGACAGTGATAAGGCATGAGAGAATGCGATACCAAAACGTTCTGGTAACAATAACGCAGTTCATACCTAAATGTTTAAATCAAAAGTCATAAATAAATTTCTTCTGTTTATAACTTGTGATCTAATCAAAATTTCTTTACGCTCGAGGGCTAGTTTTGTAGGTCTTTTGAAGACGAAAAAAAAGTACTATACTGTTTTCTCGTGGAAATGAACGGAAAAAAGTTATAAGCAAAAAACGTGAATTTACGTAAAAATTATACAGATAACCACCCTGTAAACAATCTTCCCCCCTTTTTATGATTGTGGAAACTAATATGTTATTGTACATAATATTTAGCATCTATAGTGATAAATTCGGCTTGCCAAAGCAAAAAGTCGCGAAATGGTCATTTTCCAGCTCTTTTTTCTGACCTATACAAGGTATTAAGTTGATATTAAATAAACTATTATAAGGATGATTCACAAACGGTGACCAGAAATGATACCTCATATTCTTTGGTGAATTTTAAGGGGAGTCTTTTCTATAAAGTTTTTATCTAGGTCGCTTCGTTAAAAAGATACAGGGTGTTAAACTTAAAAAATATTTTTAATTTTTTTAAATTATTTAAAAACTAGTAAGTGAAATCATTTGTATGATCTTTCATAACAGAAAATTAAAGAAACTCTCGTATTACAATATTGTCAAAAAATGGCGATGACGATTTTCTTCCAAACTTTACTACTGTCTTACTAACAGTGCGGTTTTTTATTTATAAAATGCCGTTCTTAAATTAGTTTTAAAAAAACTTACTTTGCTCGCATCAGGCGCACCGGCAACTCTAAGCGTGAACGGTGATCCCGGAACATGCTGTCCGGCATATTTGATAGTCAGTGCATGCCTTCCCGCTTCCTGTGGCTTCACGTTGAGTGTGAAAGTTGCGTCGCCGTGATCGTAAAGTTCACAGTAAGCCACTTTTCTCGGTCCAGTGCAATGCGCTGTGAGTTCTCCTGGACCAGCCCTCCTTGTATCTATCCAGGATCGAATTTCCCTACCGACTACGCCTTGCCGAAGGCCTTCTCCAGAACAGAGAACCTAAAGAGTTAAAAAGTTGATACAGTGTACACTAGATTTGTTCGTATAAGAGGTCATGATTCCTGTCGTTTACTAGACGCTATTAATAGCGGTCGGTCGGCTGTTCAATGCGTAGTTTGTACGTCGAATAAAATACTTCAAAGTAATTATTACATAATCCGCTCTTAACTATTAGTTATAATATAACAAGTGCTTTTTTTAACATGAAGCTTTCAAATATCCCGAGAAATAAGTACCCTACGGAAAAAAAATGTCAATAATCAAAATTTAATTATCCCGCGGGAGAAATACATTAGTGCTAAAATTAGTCCCTCTCCCCTACTTCGTGTAGTTGGTAGGTGAGGAAGGGGGTAACTTTGAAATCTTAAAGAGGAACCCCTATTTGTTATTGCAAATTCGAATTCTACAGATAAAAGTGCGTAGGATTTGCCTGAAACATTTTTTTCGATTCATGATAGATGGCGTTGTAATCGACGGAATTCCATGTTTCTCCATTTCTTCTACTGAGAGCCTATGTATACGATTCTGCAATGTGTTTGCAATAAAAAATGCCACGTTTCATGTAAATATTGGAACTTCGTCAGCAAAATCGCCAAAAAAAGTTTATTTTGCAAATTTCGAATAGTTAGTTTTCTGTTCCCTTCGGAGTGCTTGATTAAAATTACTTGTTCTTTATGTTACTGCTTGCTTTCTACGTTTATTTTATGTTTTTGTAGTCGCAAAAAACACGAAGAATGAAATAACACACACGTTAAAATGTAAACATTTTTATAAAAATTATTTTTAAAAAAGAAATTGTACCCATCTTTAAAACAAAATACAAAAAAAATACTTCATTTGAAAGCATATTTAATCAAGCTCTGCGATAAGTCATAAGCACAGGAAATCGCGTTGACCAAAAAGAACGCCTGTTCTTGGATTACGATTTTATAGTAGTTTTTTGACATTTTTTAGTAATTGAAAATTTGAGAAATAAAATTAGTTTTAAAACTTTTGATTATTTACAGTGAAAACGTGGTATATTTTATTGCAAACGTATTGCAGAATCGTATGCATATGAACCTAAAAAAATGTTTTAGACAAACGTACTTTTAGCCGTTGAATAATTCGAATCTGCAATAAAAAATAGGTTTAAGATTTCAAAGAGGGGGGAGAGGGACTAATTTTAGCACCAATATATCGTGAGGTGATTAAATTTTCATTATGGACATTTTCTTCGTAGTGCTTATTTCTCGAGATATTTGAAAGTTTCGGGTTAAAAAATCATTCGGTATACAGGGTGTTAAAGATAAGTTTTCCCATACTTGAATGTCGTATTCTACCGATGAAAATAATCAATTTTTGTCCTATAAAAATTTTTTATAGGAGGCTTTCCTACGGAGATACATGGTGTTAAAAGTTTCAAATATTTATATGATTTTTCCCGTAACTTCATTGGTAAAAAATATTTAGTGATAAAATTTGTTGGATAAGATTTTTTAGAAGGGACTATTTTTTTATGGATAACTTATTCCAAAATACACTCCAGGCGTAGTTATTGGGGGAGTAGGGGACCTTTTTTGAAAAAAAATCGTACGCCAGTGATTTTTTAAATAAATTTAAATGTTTTCAAAATGTGCAATTAATTTGTGGCAAAAAAGTATTTTTGTAAAGTATTCGTAAAATTTACTGGTTTTTAGATAATTGGGAAATCAAATAAGAAGATACTTAAGGTGGCCATATTCCTGGCCGAGAAATAGTGAAATTTCTGGCGTTTTTAGGTACTGAAATCTTTAAAAGTAAAACGTGTAGAACAAAAGTAAGCGCAAAAATAACATCCTTGATGTTTTATTTATTCATTGTTACTATTTAAATTTACTCAAATAAAATAATAACTAAAAAAAAAGCGTTTGTAAAACATGCGTTTGCTGTTATTCTAACCCCACATTTTAAGAATTATTTTCACGTACTTATAAATAAAAGTAAACAATTTTATATGTAGGACTAAGCAAGTAAATGTTATAAGAATATTTACATGTGGAATTATATATAAAAAAGTTAGTATTTTCGTAGATTTCAGTACCTAAAACCTTGATGGTTTGATCGTTTTTTGCACCTGTTTATTCGTTTTACTGCGGCGTCTTTGAAAATACTCAGGTGGCATGACATAACATTCCTATTATTTTATAAGCTTTAGATTATTCAGTTATTAAATGTTTTAAATTATTTGTCTTTGCGGAAAACACTATTTGAAGAATATGGGGAATATGGGAATATTAAGTACCTACGTTGCTTTGAGAGATTTCAAAACACTATATAACATCAGAATAAATGTTGGGATGCAATGCATGCTGCGCAGCGTCTCCGCATAGATCGTCTTAAGCCTAGTACCCACTGAGATTCTTTGTTCGGATTCTTTGTCACAGAGCTGCATCTGGGACTCATTTTCTAGCATCCGAGACGCTCCGCGACAATGAATCTTGCATCTGGTGTGTTGCGTTAGTATTTTTTTAATCCCATCCAAAATGGGATTCTTCACACAATGACGCGCAACATTGAGTCAGTGCGGACGTGAATCCCAAACCAAGTGGGATATTATCGCACAGTCTCGTTGTTTTTTCGTTTTTATGTTGTTTTTCTTTTGTTTTGATTTGTTTGTTTTTTAAAATGTGGACAACAAATTCTACTTTATTATTAATTGAAGACTTACAACTACTTTCTTCAAATGTAAATTAAGCAATAAATACATAATTACCTAAAAAATGAAATGTGGTATTTTATTTTGAAATGTAAATACAGCAGTACATAATCAGGTAGGTATCTACTCCATACGAAAAAATGGACTTTTGCTTCGAAACTTTAAAAGTATACATGAGGCTTGTATACGAGTCTCCACTTGCGAGGAAACGGAGAGTGATTGCTAGCCTGTTGGTAGCAAAAACTGGCACCCTAAAATTTGTCTACTTTTTTTAAATGTGTGGTCCAACCATTTCTAAAAGAAATTCGAAGTCGACTGGGCTCATACGAAGAAAATTTCAGAATCCCATCCCATTCTCCAATCCCAGTGTGTCAAGAAGATTGTGTTTGTGCTTATTTCTATTCTTGAAGATCCCACGAATTCAGCAACGTAGTGACATTTTGTTAGCCCCTTTTTTTACTTCGAAGGGCTAATAAGTAGAGTTCTATTGCAACCCCCGAGAGCGCGACCTCGTTGGACATGATTCAGAATACATTTCAGAATCAAACTAGATGTATACACGATTTCCAGCGCGGCTTTACACGCCTCATAATTCCAGCCATATTGTGTATGTTTGCGAAACCCCCTACAATGCGCTGTCAAAGTATTTCTGTATTGGGAACTGGAGTACCTACGATATACCATAGTTTTGAGGTAGCCCCAAAAAAAAGTAATCCAATATTTAATCACCTTTTATAGGGCAAAACTTCATTAATTTCATCAGTAGAACACGCCATTAAAGTTTGGCAAAACTTATCATTAATACCCTGTATATAGTATAAGTGAAATAAAATGCTAAAAGAGACAACAATTAATTGGAAATTATTTCGAATGTAGCACCTATTCAAAGATCAAAACAATGAAGTACTTTATATTAATAAATATTAAGGTTTAGTGGCATCAGAAATTAAAATATTGAAATCATACAGACTAGGCTAAATGAACGATGAAAAAATTTCTATACAGGGTGTAACAGGGCAGGCAGAACAAATAGATATAAATAAATTGACTTTGTCAACTAAATGTATGTTGAAAACTCAACTGTTTCTGAGATGTTCAAGTTATATCGCGAAATATCAAATTAAGTCAAACAATATTGACTCGATAAGATTTTTTAAAATTTTATTTTATTTTTGTTTGAATTAAATTTAAAAACGAGTTGAAACATGTAAGAGCGAATAATAGAATATATTCATTTTCATATTTTATATAATCTTTTTTTTTATCTCGAATGATAAAAGAGTTATCGTACTTTGCAATATTATTGGACTATCCATTATCATTGAAAAGACAACAAATAATGTCAAAAACTCAAAGTCTCAATGGCTTCATTATTTCTTGACTGGTTGACATGTTGAAGATTGATATCATTTAACGTTTTTAAACATATATCAACCTTTTTTCGAAACGTCAAAAAATCTAAACCGATGACGCACCAGCCCAGAAACAGTATCACCATTAACAAAAGTCACATATGTCTGCTAATCAAGCTAAAGGTTCTAGGTTTACCTTGGAAGCGTCTGCACCCCCCTTGGCTTCTACTACCAACGGACAACCTTTAACTGGTCTACCAGCCCACAAGACAGACAATAAATAGTTGCCGGCACTGTTGACAGTGTACGCAGCTCTCCAAATCTTGTCGCCTGCTAAACTGATCATTACTGGCACTGGTATGTTGGTATCCGCTGCGTGTAAAGTAACCTCCGGGTTACCTAAAATCAGATAAATTTAAATATGGCACATTAGTATTTTGAAAACTTAATCTTAAACCCATAATTTTCAACAAACTTTAAAAAAGACATTATTTTATGAAAACTTAGATTCAATGACAACAAACATAATTTGATTTCATTTTTGTATTAAGACAATGCATTTTTGAGAAATCAGTACTAAGACACAAAAAAAAACTTGTAGAAAAAAGTACAAAGTACATTTATTTTTTTCCAAAATGTTCAGCGGGGAACATTTATACTAAATCACATATATTATAAGATTATTGTTCGGGTAAATAACTTTAAAATTTACTTGACAATTTCTGAAAAACTTTAAGTTATTAGTTTCAGTATTTTTCTTTCTATTTTCATAAAATAAATAAAGGGGGAATAACACTTAATTCTTACACTCTATGGAAAAGTATTACATACCTGTACTGGCTTTGGAGCCATCGATAGTAAAAACGGCCGGTTCTCCACATAAGGCATGGGCTAAACCTTTTCCTGTTAAAACAACTTGATCTCCGAGACATACAATAGTGTCCGGAGCCTCCGGCAAAGGTATATTCGCAAATCTAATGTCAAACTCGTGTTCACCCGCATTCAGACCTTCACCAGATATATCGAATCTTATCCTAGACCCAGTCTTTTCCGGATTTACTTTACGTCCGGAAACTTTGCACTCTAGATGCCCTGGCCCAGCATTTGTTATATCAAATGCCAATTTTGCTGGAAGCTTGACACGATCAGAGTCATCCAGGTACTGATTCCAACCTCCTATCAAACGGACTGCAGATGGATCCACTATGTTCGGTCTAAACGGAGATCCTGGCAACTAAAATTTTAAAATATGTTGATATTCACCAAACTTTTAAGTAGTAGTACTATGACGACTTACATCATTTGGTCCGATACTGATAATAATGTCGTAGGTTCCGACCCACTTAGGTGTGTACGATACAATGTATTCCCCTGGCTTTGGACACTGAATATGAACGTCTATGTTCCCTTCGACAGCTTCAACTACCACTCTAGGCTGAACAACACTACTAACCGTGAATGAAGTTCTTTCACCAACTCGACCATTTTCAAGACCTTTTCCCACTGCTCGAGGAGGTGGAGTAGGACCAACAGGGCCTACTCCTAATGCAAGGGGTGATCCTTTCACAGGAGCTCCACCGTAAGTCACCGCGACTTGATACAAACCAGCCATGGTCGGTAGGAATACGATTTGAGTCAGTTTCTCATCTACAGGTATTTGTTGAACAGTCAGGGTTTGATTTATCGGGTTCATCACTTGGATTTCCAGTTCGGCAGATCCAGAGTGCTTAGAAGATACTATAAGGGAAATATTGTAAAACGTTATAACATGTAAAATATATGAAAATTTTAAATTTGAAAATAAAACTTCTAATAAAATTTTTCTCCTTAAACAAGTTGATGTGAAATATGCCCTTATCAGTGATATTGACAGGAATAGTAAGTTTTTGAATCTTAACATTAATAATGTAGTAGCAGCATCTTATAAAAATACTAAACACAATAATTAATAAGAAATACACTAGATATATGGTTTACGCTTATTATTCAGCGTTGTTATGAGCAAAAATTAAATTTTAAAAAGTAGAAGAAGTATGAAAACGATAATGGTTAGGTATGTACAATTTTCTTCTCTTGAAAAACAATAGGAAAAACAAAATGTTTTAGAGTTTGAAATATGTTGCTTAAACATAACTAAATCTAGAATCGAATACGAAAAGCTTTTGGTCGTTTATTTTGGAATAAAACTAGATCTCAAAGAATTTATTTTACAATGACTTATAAAGACAGCGTAATTAATACAGATCAATACAAATCAAGACACATGACAATTTTTCCGATTTTTTTCTTAATTTCTTGTTGTTATCACAATCTGTCAAATGTAGCAGAATTTATTTTTATAAATTACGTATTTAAAGAACAAATTTTAACACAGTTGAAAAAGTTATACCTATGTATACAGGGTGATTCACAACTTATCCAAAAAGAATTTGGGAATAGATGCGGCATGAGAAATGGAGTAAAACATTTTTTTGTAAAGTCCTTATAGTGTCCTAGAAAAAAATTGTTGAAGTACTTTCAAGCATTACATCACTGGACAACTGCAGTCTCTAGCGTCATTCGCAATACTCGTGGAGAGCCACGTGGCGTTAGCGACTCCGAATACTGAAATCCAATTTTATAATCGTCGTTGCGATAGTGTTTACAATAGTTTCTAGTAGTTAGTGTCAGAAATGGCTTTCGTGTATAGCAACTCGGAGTTGATGGATATCGTTTTAATTTATGGTGAAGCAAGACAACATTTGTATTATGGTGAAGTATTTGTGTTATGGTGAAGCAAGACATCATTTGTGTTAGTTCGTAGAAAGTGAGTAAGACAGACCCAAATGTGTTTACACGTGAGTGGATAAAATTTTGAACAATTGCTGTTGCAGCATCGGGTATGTCAAATGATTTTATTATTTAAAAACACAAATTAATTTTATTAATAATTAATAAAGGTAAAACTTTTGAATTTGCCGATATAAAATAGGTGCGATAAAATTCTATTTACATATTTCTTTCCTTGCGAAAGTTTTTTTCCGTTTTTATCACGCCGCCATACCGGTAGCATTGTGCGAGGTCAGGTTTTACAGTGGACCAGTTTCCAGTGCCGTGCAGAAGTGTATTTTTAAATCAATTTCGAACTGACCTTTTTGATTTTTTCTTTACAAAATTGTATTTGTAAGGGTCCCCTGTACATCCAGAATTGTTTTACTATTACAGCCCTTCTACTTCTAGTGCAACTTTATAGCTAAGATTAATCAATATCAAATAAACGCCGTGTGCACTGATTTTTCAAAAGGTTTTGATTTGATTTTGTTAATAGAGAATTAACGCTATGCACAGTAATCTGCTTTATAAGCTTGATATTGAAAAATTATATAGACCCGTAGAAATTAATCAGTTGTGCCGCAGGGATCTCACTTGGGTCTCCTATTGATTTCCATATTCATTAGTGACATTAGCAAAAATTTCAGATATTGTACATATCCATTATATTTTAATTATCTAAAAATAATTGAAGATTGGAAATAAAAGTCGACAATTCTCTGTACAAGAAGTCATTAATATTAATAGAATAGATTTCTACTCATTATGCTTAAATATTAGAAAATGTTTCCCAAATACCTTTCCCGGAAATAGACATCTACAAATCTAATAAATAGACTGCAGATTCTACAAGATGTCAGAGAGTTGGATGTGATCTAAATAGTAAACTGACTTTCGTATATCGTATTTATTTTATTGTCAGAAAAACATTAAAAAACTTGAGTTTCATAAAGAAAACTGGTAAAGATGTTCCGTTGATCAAGTCTTTCATACTTTTATATATTTTTTTAATGCGAAGTCATATGCTACATCTGTTTGGAATCCAATCTATCACAAATATGTTACTGAATTATATTTTTTTTTAAATTTTAACTTCAATAAATATCGTTATTTTGTTACATATTCCACTTATTCACTTTATTCTTATTTATTATTTCACTTATCTTTATTCTTCATAAAAAACTAAAAACTTAAATATCAATAAAACAGAACATACATTATAATTTAATTTTAGGTTTATTTGTATTTATATTTTATTAACACATGCATGAAATTTTTAAACAAGTATGTTCTTATATTTACCATAAGTTAATGCAATTCTGTTTTTTTTTTTTTTAGTTTTGTAATTACCACATATGTGTACTTTTAAGAATTTAAAGCAGCTCTCTTATTGGAATCACATATTTCGGTCGAAGTAGTAAAACTTGTAAATAAATAAATGAATAAAAATCAATACCATTGAATGAAATCCTCTCTCCGACATTTCCTTGTGTTGTAGGAATATCAAGAATCCTTACATTATCGGGATCGAAAGCTTGGCAAGTGAAAGGGCTACCGCTGACATGTTTGGCCTGGTGTAGAACTTCAATCGTGTGAGGGCCAACTTCTCTGGATGTAAATTCAGCTTGGAGTTTCCCGGTTTTCGTTTGATAACACCTTACGGGTACGGCTGATCCGGTAGGACCGCTTACGACAACGTCAAATTCTCTAGCGGATCTTCCCAGAGTTTCAATGTGGAAAGAAGTGACTTTTCCGACTCTGGCTTGATACAAACCTAAAATGAAGATATGAAATATTGAACGAATGATTAATTAGTTCTACCTACCTAATCCAGCCGCCCACGGTTCATTGCCAGGACCTTTAACTGGTACTTCTAGGACACCAAATTTGGGGACACTGTTGTAAAACAGGGTAACACGGTGAGGGGCTGCTTGTACTGGATGAAAGACGACTTCCCACATATTAGCATTTGTAGGGCTTTGTCTCACACTGTGAGCTACATTTTTGTTGGCAACCTAAATAAATATATATTAAATGTAGATTAAAGAAAACATGTGACAGAAAATATGAAATGGATATTGAAACTAGTACGAAAGTCAACGTTCATTGATAAAATCAGTTTACTTAATTTCATTTTATTTTAATAAATTCAAGACGAAATTAAATTTAATTCACTTTAGTAGGTACTATAATTATCAATTTATTATTGATTGAATGAAAGCAACTTTTTTGAAATATACTAATATTAAGAGCACTGTAAACGTTAATCTGAAAATTATAGTTTCTTCTTAATTTACGTAATGGAAAAATTAAACGTTTTTATCACATTCACAAAAAGTTACGTATTTCTCAAACTAAAAGTGAGATTTTAAAAAAAGAAGATAGATATATTTAGATTTGGTTTATAGAGTTTCGTGGCAGTTGTCAATGGTTGAACTATTTCCAGGCTGGTTGCCACGTGAGACTTCCTGATGTTTCGAGAGATATATGGGTCTGTTAATTTTTTCGTCTAATACGTCGCTTGAAACGTTAAAAAAGCTAAACCGACGACGCGTGTTTGATCTGTATCAACGTCAATTATTTTCAATCGTAATCACTCAAACTTGGTATACTGTAGTTTTTTTCGTCGTTGAATCTGAATTTATGTACTGTCAAAAATTAAAAGTCCGATATAGCAAATATAACTACCAAAAGTGCTACTGATGATTTCAGGCTATTGCACGTTTTTCCATCTAGCATTGTACTATACTGTTTGTGTATCACTATATATGTAATGCTATCGATAATAACACGTTTTTGCAATAAATGTGCTATTTTATCGGAATAATGATTATATTTTTCTTTAATTTTTTCTGTTGTTCCTTGACAAACTCAAATTTTCTTGCTCAACATAGCCTCACAGACGAAGGTCAAGTATTACGCCATATTATTTCTACATTTGAAGATGGAGACAATTTAAGATCTACACATTTCATAATTTCGTATTACACACTTTAATACCATAACCAAACTCTACAATAAATAAAAATAGTATAATAAACCCTAAATTCCTTAACTTAAAACCCAATAAGTTTACATTACATAATTATTAAATCCATGAAACAAAATTATATAAAAACTTAACAAATCACAATTTAAAATTATAAATAATGTAGAAAGTAAAAAAATTGACAAAAATAAAAAATATATAAAAACAGAAAAAAAAAATAAAAACAAAAAAATTAAAAATATATACAACAGAAGAATAAAAAAAATGTTTCTTTGTACACTGTAACATAGCTAGGAGATAGGGGGTTATGTAGAATTGGGCTTAAAGAGTGTAAATTTTCAGGTAATAAAATTTTCAGTTTTTAGTGTAACATGAAAATATAAAGTATGTAAATCTTAAATTAAGTATGTATATCTTAAATTATGGTATTTAAAATCATATGCTATATCATACTAGTGGATTCTTAATTTTTAGAAGATATAATGTAACCCAAACACATTCATTAGCACTTTTGGTAATCCCAATGTATGCGGGTGATTAATTAACAATGGAAAAATCTAAAGCTGAAGATACGACAAGTGAAATGGTAACCATTGACGCAAACATGTCTTATCCGAAAGTTGATAGTTGCGGAAATACAGGGTGTTGAAAATTAAGATTTTAAATCGTGGTTTTGCGATGATTCTGAAAATATGTAGGTTAGGAACTTGAAAATTTGTGAAACCATATTTTTTTTAAGCGACGAATAAGATGCGTGTTGCTCCTAGAGGGCGTCACTTACGATCAATTTTACCGAAAATTTAGTTAACTTTTTACCCTGTATAATAATAATAATAATAATAATAATAATGTCTTTATTTCCAAAAGAAAAATAAAAGTCATTCAGCACAAAAATAAAAAGGTTATCCATAGTTTTGGAAATCTCAAGGGGAAGTTCACAATAATTGTGCTCTACCACTTAACCCTTGAATACCACATATCTAATATATAAAGCACCGTAGTCAGTATTACATCACAGTAAACATATAAATTACAACAATAATAACAATAGTAGCGTTAAATAAGTAACATACCTAAGAAAATAACATTGTCCTAACAAATTTTTTGAACTTTGCACAACTAATATATCCTGCACCGAGTGTGACGCTGTTGTACAACCGGTATATATTGTATTTAAAACCTCTCTCAAAAAAAGACGTTTTATGTTGAGGAGGGCTGAGTAAACCTTTGGATCTAATATTAATATTATGCACATCACTGCGAAATACAATTTTGTTATATAGATAAGGTGGAGTCTTAGTAAGTAAAAGTTTATGAAAGAAACAAAGTGAGTAAAGTTTTCTCCGTTTGAACATATCCAACCAGCCAAGTTCATGCAACTTATGCGATACATGATCAAATTTACGAATACCAAAAATAAAACGTATACACGCATTTTGAACGCGTTGGATGAGGTTGCTGCTGTCAAGATCTAGGCAAGGTCCATATACAGGGGCACAAAATGAAAACTGGGATAATATCAATGTCTCACAAAGCATTCTCTTAGTATTTATGTTTAGATATTTACGATGGGGATACAGAAGCCGCAATCCTAGGTATGCTCGTTGGGCCATTTTTTTAACTTGCTCCCTGAATCTTAAGTTGGAATCTAAGATTAAACCTAAATTTTTTGCACTCTTAGAAAATTCTAGCAAATGCCCATTTATATTAATCTTAATTAATTTAGAGATATCAAAAGCTTTAGTCTTCTTGCCGAATAAAATTAAGGCTGTTTTAGAAGGATTTATACTAAGAGAATGCTGTAAGGAAATATCAAATATTGTATTTAAATCATCATTTACCTTATGCATAGCTGATTGATAATCTTTAGGATAAAACGAGTAATATAATTGAGTGTCATCAGCATACATGTGAATGGAGCAATATTTGACAAATTTTATAAATTGTGATGTATAAATTGTAAATAACAAAGGACCTAATATGGAACCCTGGGGGACTCCTTTGCAGATAGATCTAGATTGAGATAGGTTTTCAGAGACTCTTACAAACTGTGTCCTGTTATTAAGGTATGAATATAGCAACTTAATGCTGTCATGTTCAAAACCACATGATTTTAAAATAGCAATTAAAACATCGTGATTTATGGTGTCGAATGCCTTGCTGTAGTCAAGTAAAATTAGGAGCGTACATTTTCCCGAGTCAGTAGCGTCCACAATATCATCAATAATGTGCATTAGAGCTGTAGAGCAACTGTGCCCAGGACGAAAACCAGACTGAAAAACAGGTAAAATACTATAATTTTCTAAGTATTCACGAATTTGAATTTCAATTATCTTTTCCGCAATTTTCGACAATCCTGGTAAAATACTGATAGGGCGTAAATCAGAAAAAGTCTTAGGATCACCTTTCTTAGGAATTGGCGTCACTAGAGCAATTTTCCAGGAAGAAGGAAATTGACAGTCAATAAACATACTGTTAATTATATGAACAACATAATATAAAATATAGGGACAGCATAGCTTTATAAAAAATATACTAAGCAAATCAGCACCAGCCGATGAATTTTTTATAATCTGGAGGACATTTCGCACGGTATCTATTGAGACGAGTTTAAATTTAAAACTTGAGTTAAGAACTTTATTGAAATCATAATAATCAAAGATGCTAGAGTTGTCACCTATATTATCTGGAATATTGTCTATGAAATAATTATTAATAGCATCTGGATTCGATAAATTAGCAGGCAATGGCGAATTAGAGCTATTAGAAACAATGTTTAATGATTTAAGCTCCCCCCACAGATTTTTAGAATTTTTATTAGTTGAAATATAATTAAAATAAGACCGTTTTTCCACAATTTGAGCATGATTAACTGCATTCCGTAACTGTTTAAAATAGTTCCATTTAGCAGGAGAAGAGTTTCTTTTATATTCAGACCTTGCCTTATCTCTTTGTCTCATTAACAGTTTGATATTATCTGTTAACCAAGGGGCCTTCTTTTTTGTTATTCGTACCGTTCTCAAAGGTACATGCTTATTATAAAGGTTTGAGAGATGCAACGTCAAATGACTAACTTTGTCGTTAATATTTGTCATATAAAATAAATCAGAAAGCGGTAATCTTAACAAATCATTAAAAAATGTGTCTTCATCAAAGTGTTTGAAATCACGATAAGTGTAAAACCTTGATGTAACATTAGCAGGACTTGAAGAAATTTGACATTGCACAAGATCATGATTAGATATATTCAGACCTCCAACCTTTACCAAAGAGACAATGTTCAAATCATTACATATAATAACATCAAGTAACGATGCATTAGTAGCAGTTACGTGTGTAGCTTCATTAACAATTTGATGAAAATTCAGTGATTCAAGCATATTTAAAAAATAGCGAGTTGCATTCGAATCCAAAGATAACAAATTAATATTAATATCACCAAAACAAATAATATTATCTCCAAATTGCATACAATTAGATATAGATTCTTCTAAATTATCAGTGAAAAGTTTCGAATTTGTTCGAGGCGGATTATAGCAGACCCCAAATATGTAATTAATTTTATTAATAGGTACAGTAATCCAAAGCTGTTCTAGATCATTGCTGGTGTCGATGATGCTAAATAAATATGAGAACTTCAAATAAAAGGCTACTCCTCCCCCCCTTCCATTCCTATCTTTACGAATTAAAGTATAGCCATCAATTTTCAAAGATTGATCAGGAATGTACGAATTTAGCCACGTCTCACTCAATGCAAAAATATCAAAGTTATTTTCTAAAATATAATTCTTCAGAACATTAAATTTAGGTAGCAGAGACCAAATATTTAGATGTGCACATTTAAATGAAAAATTTACCATATATAAAAAATATACTTAATACTAGATAACAGAATAAGGTAAAAAGCAGATTTCTTACAGCTAACAAAAAGTAACACAATACTCTTTGCAAAGCAAACGAGAAAAAGAGACAGAGAAAAAAAAATATATAGTGTGCTCGGCATATTAATAAAGCAATACCAAAAACATTACAGTTAATTATTTCTCGGTAATAGATAACTATCAATGTCAGTAATACTTTTAAACTTTAACACTGAGTTATTAACTTTAGCAAAAACCTCACCATCATTTGTCCAAACATTACGAAAATGGAATTTTTCACAAGCGTATGAAAAGATTTTAAACCTTGACGGCGTCAAATCCTCCTTGATAGACAACCCAGTAGATTTCAACTTGGACTTATTACGAAACACAGCCCTCTTCAATTGATAAGTGGAGAAACTTACTAGAATAGCTCGAGGTTTATTATTACGTGCAGCCTTTCCAACATATGTCTAACATAAAATTATTTTACCATTAATTATGTACTCTTGTTTCATTTCGGTGGAAGCATTTGTGCTTAGCCACCCAGAAGTCCGAACTTCAATACTCTTAATTTTTCTATTTGGTCTCGAATTAAAGATATAGTTTACAAAGAATCTATTGGTTCGCATGAAGAGTTGTGGCAAAGAATACAAATCGCTTCCAACGAAGTCAGACGCAAGACCAATATGTTGTTTCAAACTCGAAAATCTCTCAGAAAACGTTCTGTAAAGTGTATCAGTGCAACGGTCGGTTCTTCGAACAATTACTTTAAATCATTATTACGTATTTCATTTGTTTTATTGTTAATTGTTGTAATAACATGAAGAAACACTTAGTTTGTTTCGCTTTTAATTTCTCGTATTATCAAAACATAGTGTTCTCGAAAAACAAGAGTAGATAATTAATGGAAAAATGATTGCTCTTTAAGATTTTGAATCAAGTTTCATATACAGGGTAAAAAGGTATTAACTAAATTTTCAGTAAAATTGGTCGCAAGTGGCGTCCTCTATGAGCAACGCTGAAATTGCATCACGCATCTTTCACAAATTTTCAAGTTCCTAACCTACATATTTTCAGAATAATCGCAAAACAATGATTTAAAATTTTAAGTTTCAACACCCTGTATTTCCGAAACTATCAATATGGCATGTTTGCACCAATGGTTACCATTTCACGTGTAGTATCTTCAGCTTTCGATTTTACCATTGTTAATGAATCACCCTGTATATTTGCTATATCAAATTTTTAATTTTTAACAATGTATTCAGATTTAGCGATCAAAAAACTTCAGTGACTTCGAGTGAAATTTGATATTGATACAAATTTTTGTCGCCTAACATGTCGTTTTAATCCACCTGTGCGACGCGACGTGCATTTAATTCTTTAGGGGTGCATTATCGGGTGTAGAAGATGATTGTTACGTCATATTTGATGTAAAATTCGTCGTCCTCACACACAAAATCGGCAGATTTTGTAAAACTTACTTCTTATGAAATTAACGGTACCTAATCGTATATTTGTAACGCATTATATTCAGGGTTCTATTACCATTAAATAATTNTTTGATCTGTATCAACGTCAATTATTTTCAATCGTAATCACTCAAACTTGGTATACTGTAGTTTTTTTCGTCGTTGAATCTGAATTTATGTACTGTCAAAAATTAAAAGTCCGATATAGCAAATATAACTACCAAAAGTGCTACTGATGATTTCAGGCTATTGCACGTTTTTCCATCTAGCATTGTACTATACTGTTTGTGTATCACTATATATGTAATGCTATCGATAATAACACGTTTTTGCAATAAATGTGCTATTTTATCGGAATAATGATTATATTTTTCTTTAATTTTTTCTGTTGTTCCTTGGCAAACTCAAATTTTCTTGTTCAATATAACCTCACAGACGAAGGTCAAGTATTACGCCATATTATTTCTACATTTGAAGATGGAGACAATTTAAGATCTACACATTTCATAATTTCGTATTACACACTTTAATACCATAACCAAACTCTACAATAAATAAAAATAGTATAATAAACCCTAAATTCCTTAACTTAAAACCCAATAAGTTTACATTACATAATTATTAAATCCATGAAACAAAATTATATAAAAACTTAACACATCACAATTTAAAATTACAAATAATGTAGAAAGTAAAAAAAATGGACAAAAATAAAAAATATATAAAAACAGAAAAAAAAATAAAACCAAAAAATTAAAAATATATACAACAGAAGAATAAAAAAAATGTTTCTTTGTACACTGTAACATAGCTAGGAGATAGGGGGTTATGTAGAATTGGGCTTAAAGAGTGTAAATTTTCAGGTAATAAAATTTTCAGTTTTCAGTGTAACATGAAAATATAAAGTATGTAAATCTTAAATTAAGTATGTAAATNAACGGTATCTAATCGTATATTTGTAACGCATTATATTCAGGGTTCTATTACCATTAAATAATTATAAATTTTCAGTTGTACATTTAACCTAATTTAAATTAAATTAGTACCTAATGTTAATACCAAAAATTCCAAATTCCAAAAATTTTATTTAGATTGTTCTTTTGTACAGATTTAAAAATGTCGGTTCAAACAATGTAATAATAGTACCTCTATTCCCGAATTTATAAAATATATTTCTTTAGGTTTGTTAAAGAGAGAACGGGATATTACTCAAAAAAATATATACTTTTTTACGTCTAAGTAGTAAACAATTTCTTTTTTTAATTATTTTTCAACTGATAGCAATTATGTTGTCTCCAAATTCCAAAAAAATTTAGAGTGCATAATCCAAATTTTATCTGGTTATGAAACTTCTGAGAATGAGAAAAATAACCCGTAGCCAATGACCGCAAAAGTTTAGTTTATAAGATGCAAGATGTTCCTTAATTGCTTGTTTTAAAATATTCAAAACGTCTAAAGATAAGCGAATTAAAATATCTAAATATCTTGCAATTATGCCTAATCTATTTTGGTCCCACAATTTTTTATTTATTTAACATCACATCATTAAAATTTGGAATTTTTTACATAAAAAACGTCTTATGTTTATGTATTAAACTTGTTAGTTTTTTAGAAAGACTACACCATTTGACTACGTAATTTTTTTCTTCATAATTAAATAATTGTGCAAAGAAGCCGAAATTTCAAAGTTTTGAAAGTTTTGTTTAAATATGTGAAAAATTATTAGTCCCTGGTTTTACCAGTTCTTGAATAATTTTGATTCATAGTTGTCATTTGGACTTACAAAGGATAAAAATTGAAATATTTGTGTACATTTTTATTGGTTTATCGTTAGGCGTTTCGAATACATTGAACTATTTCCAGAAATTTCAATTTCAATACACTGTAGAAATAATAAAAAAATTAATGCCGATGTTTATGAGAACAATAATTTTATTTCGTGGAATTTCTATCTTCAGGTAAAGTTTGGTTTATGCAGTAGTAGTTTTAAGGCTTTTACGGCCTGTGTTTATATTTATAGTTAAAAGTTTTTCGGATTGTTATGCGGTGGCCTATATACCTTGTCGTCGCACATTCATAATCATGGATTGGAATCATTGCCCTGTCTTTGTTGTTCTCGGGCCAGACTGTGTGATAGCTGACTTGCTGTAGAACCTCCCTTATATTCAATTCGGTTTGGTTTTAAGGCCGCTACTGTCACTTCTTAAACAATGGTGGCTTCCTAAGATGTTCCGCAGTGGCCAGTTACAGATACCACTGTAGAACGACTCTGAGGGTCACCATCGTCTGAAGAGCGGTTTCGTCCACAGCAGCCTTAGAACCAACAATAAGAACTCAACATCAAGGTGGACCTAGTTCGACAACAAGGGGCAGGTGAAAGATTCCTAGCTACGTAAGTTTGTAAATGGCGTAGACCAGGTATATAGACTGCGGTATAATAACCTGAAAAATCATCGTAATATGATTTATGCGATTTGTTAAAACCTATATAACTCTAACGATCAGATTCGCAATAGCAGATTGGAGTAAAATCACATAAAACTGATATTTAGGTACTCAAACAATTCCCTTCATTCTATTTGTAAATACTCTCGACCTTCTCTCAAACAACCACATAATAATTGGTTACTAATATGCAAATGAAAGTTAAATTTTCCGCAATCGATTTATTAGTTATATGAAAAAACTTACCTTGACTGCAGCTGTTAACTTTCCAGGGCCAACTCTGTTCATGTTGATTCCGATGACTGCAGGTCTGTGACAAATAGCTTCTGGCGCATTGATTATATCGATTTTGGTGGTATCAAACACATGAAGAGTTCGAGTGCCTACTATCTCATTGTCCTTGATTATCTGCACCCGATACGTTCCGGTTTGCGTTAAGTTAAATTCCGCTTTGTAGTTTTTAACAATATATTTGGCGTGATGGTTGTTGGGATCACTAATTTCTATTCTGTGACTGTCGCTAGGAAGGTCGATGTAGGCTATTGAGCCTATCTGGAAATACTGCGTCGATTCGACGACGGTGCAATGAAAGGGACTTCCTAACACTGTCATGTCGTTAAATGTTATATTAACAAAGTGATCTTCGGCTGTAAGAGGGACAAAGGTGACGTCGTACAACCCCCTCGCGCATGCAACGACCTCGGCCTTTATGGTGGTGTGCTGCGTGGAAACGACGAGTTCCAGGGTTCCTTCACCGGCCTGGGCAGCGTCCACGCTGAACGTTACGGGTTTTCCTACTTCTGCGGGGCCGATATCTCTTAGACTCAGATCATTTATGGATCTGGACAGATCATTTTTACGTCCGGGCAAACCGGTCACGATGACCTTATTCACGTCATACACATTGCAACTGAACGGAGAACCGATGACATGCTGATCGTTTATTAGAATGGCTACCGAGTGGCGGCCAACGTTTTCTGGGATGAATCTCGCTATATATACGTCTTCGTTCACGATCAGTTTCGTTGGAAGGATTTTCCCGTTTGGCGCTGTGGCTATGATCTGAGGTTCTCCACCTAATGTAAGAAGTATTTATATAGAAAGTAAGATCGGAATAAGGCTTGCTCCGTGTAAGTGGAAAAGTAAGGTGTGGCGCTGTTGATGTTGTGGCGATGGAATTGCAGTCCAACCAAGAGACAGACGTGCAGGTCGTCAAATGTAGAAAATGCTCTCATTTTGTCACGTTTATAGATGCACATTATCGCATACTGCTGAGATTTATTTGTGTATTGTCTTTGTGGGTAATCAGACGGAATATGATGCATGAAAAAGGAAAAACATTTCTAAATGTATTAGTCTTTATTATTTTTATAATAATTTTGGAACTCTTAAAGCAGTGTACTTCAGTCTACACCAGTCTCGTGTTGGAAATTTAATTCTGTTAAAATCCAAACGGCAATTGTCATTCTTTTCTTTCCCAATGTGTTCCCTTTTTAATTTAACGCAGGCATTGCTTAGGACTTGGGGCTTTTCGTATACTTGATAACCTGTACACATCGGTTTGAAAGATTTACGGAAACTGTGCGGTACCGCTGAGAAAGAGATTTGTAACGGATATCTTTTATTGGTACTTATTTAACATTATTTTGTAGCATTTAGTAGTATATTTTTTATATTAGTTTAGTAGTATTTGTTAGTATTTCTTTTAAGAAAATTGTCTTGCTGTATTGAGACACAGGCAGATCTGTAGCTTGTTTTATGACTTTGTAAACAGTACCACTTATTGATTTATTTTTCTAAAATTTTCATAATTTTTTATAGTACCTAACCAAAACTTTGGCAAAACTTTCGTGACATTTATAATATTAGAAAGAATAAGAAACGGAAACTATATTTATTTGGCCCAAAAAAAATTTTTACGTTGTAGATGTTTTATAGTGTGTACTGTTGAAATTGAAGAGGGAAAATTCTGCTTGTATTCAAAAGTACAAAAATGAAGTTCTATGTGAGCCAACAAGAAACATACAAATAAATCAATATTTTCAAAGTTTAATATGTACACGATGTCTCCAGATCATCTTAAAAAAAATAATAATCCCAATCCGTTGAAATGTACTTAAATTGTAACATATTTTCATTATTAATCAATTAAGTAGGCCTTCACATAAGCAAAAAAAAATAATTCAGTACAAAAAACTGCTATATTCATATAAGATATTAAAAAAAAATGCCGAGAAAATTATTCACAATTAAAATTTAAAATACATTTTAATTCTAATTTACATATCGTAAAAATTTTCACCTCTTACAAATTACATATACAGAATGAAAAAAATTTAAGTGTCAATTGCTTAAAAGTTAAAACATTTTTTAATCAAATTAAATTTTTTTATATCTTATGTGTACCTATACAGGGTGTTCCTAAATAAGTGTCGCAACGGAAAACTGTAAATTCCTCTTGAAAAAAGAAACATTTTTTTCCTCTTCCATTTTTCTCTCCGGGTTTTCGATTTCGAGATACACGGTGTCAAAACTTTAATTTTTTTTTAGTTTTTCGCCAATATCTTAGGAATCGTTTGAACTACAGGACTGAGCTTTTGTACACACATTACCACTATTAATAGCTACTTTTTCGCACCCTTCTCGAATTCATTGGACGTGCCAGTGGTGGAGATTTTAAGGTATCGTAAGGGTTTTTCCCCCCCTAAATTTTACGCCACTGGAAAAATTGACTTTTGACAGCAAATTCTAAAGCGCCAATGAATTTTACACAATAAGAGTTCTCTTGGTTCATTGCTCTAAAGTCAACCGTTTTCAAGAAAAATGACTTTTTATGAACAAAAGCAAACATTTTGCTAACGTTTCGAAAATCTTTTGTAATTCAAAAAATAGGTAGTAATAATTAACAATTTTAACGAAATTTAACAACAGATAGGATTTTAACTTTTTTTTATCAATTTGGCGAGTAAAATTTACAGAAACTGTTCAAAATTACGTCCGTTGGCTTGAATGCACGCATTACATCTTCTAATCATGTTTCTTTCTGCCGCTGCGGCTTCACCTCTATCGGTCAACTTTTCGATAGTATTGACATGGAACGTTAGCAAAAATGTTTGCTTTTGTTCATAAAAAGTCATTTTTCTTGAAAACGGTTGACTTTAGAGCAATGAACCAAGAGAACTCTTATTGTGTAAAATTCATTGGCGCTTTAGAATTTGCTGTCAAAAGTCAATTTTTCCAGTGGCGTAAAATTTAGGGGGGGAAAAACCCTTACGATACCTTAAAATCTCCACCACTGGCACGTCCAATGAATTCGAGAAGGGTGCGAAAAAGTAGCTATTAATAGTGGTAATGTGTGTACAAAAGCTCAGTCCTGTAGTTCAAACGATTCCTAAGATATTGGCGAAAAACTAAAAAAAAATTAAAGTTTTGACACCGTGTATCTCGAAAGCGAAAGCCCGGAGAGAAAAATGGAAGAGGAAAAAAATGTTTCTTTTTTCAAGAGGAATTTACAGTTTTCCGTTGCGACACTTATTTAGGAACACCCTGTATGTATATTATATAGATTTTTTTGCGACAAGATCAACTTAATCTTTAAGAAATAAATATAAGTTATTTTATAATTACGTAGTTCGTTTACTAAAGAGTCAAATTTTGCAGATTCTTTTTACACCAAAGGCGATCTGAGAACATCCTGTATATAGCAAATGTTGAAAAATGGTTACTGATTTTTTTTTGAGTTCTAAGGATCAGTTGGCAACATAAAACTATATTTCTGTACATTCACAAAACACAAGAATTTTTTAATACGACAATTCGTATTTTTTTCCATAAGAAGAAAAGTAAAATAGTTTTCTCTTTGTAACATAATTCGTGTCTATAAAACGGTATAAAAACTGATTTAAAACACAAAATCCACCATTATTATTAACAAAAATATGTATGCAGAGTTGTCCTTAAGAACGTCACTGAAAATAAAAATAGTCGATTCTTCAGATTATTTTTAGGAAAAAGGACACTTGTTCCAAACGTATGTAGTTTTTAAATATCACGTATATGTAAAATATTAGATATTAGTTTAACTGTGGCTGACAACTTAAGTAATGGTAAAAAATTCATTAAATCTGCAATGATTTTATGACTGCTTGCACCCTAAAAGTTTGGTAATTAGAGACTCTTTTTTAAATACAAATGTAACCGAAATGTTTCACTAGCAATACGTTTGTGACCACCTCATATAACACCTAAATAAAAACACTGAAATAAAAAATTAAAATGCTTGTGCGACTATTACGAAACAAATTTATGATGTAAGGAAGTCTTATACTAATTTATTTTGATATATTTCCGACTATAATAAAATATGACTTATAATATAAGTATAACCACATTTATTAAATTGTCTTGCTGATTTATAGTAGCCTTTATATCTGTGCTATACATGGTCAAAAGGATGAACTGATGAAAAATGATATATTCAAATGCCATCTCAAATTTGATTGGTTTATTTTTTATTTTCATGAGATTTAATAAACACTGAAATATATAAAACTATTATGCATATTATTCAGGAGTTGATGGAGTTGAAAAGATGGAAAACTTTTTTATTTCTCGTTTCATGAAACAACTTCAAATGTAGGAAAATGTAGTATTAAATAGGCCAACATATACAGGGGTCCTCTATAAAGAAATTATTAGAAAGTAGTATTAATTCTTAACTATATATTAAGGTGGCCCAAAAAAAACGAATATTTTTTTCGTGCCTCTTGTGAAAATATGTTAGTTTATCATGTTTTAAAATCCCCCTAAAAAAATCAGCTCAAAAAAAATTTTTCAGAGGTCGCTCAAGATTTTTAAAAATTTCCAAAATCTTCAAAAATTGATTTAAAAAAAAAATTTTTCTCGTTATTTTATCATTTTCTACGTTGAAAAAAATCTCGATTCTGAAAATTTCAAATCGATATTTTAATTTCTAAAGCCCACTCATAATTATTTAACTTTAAAAGTAGTGCACCTAAAATGTATTCGAACGACCTCTAAAAATAAATATCAACGAGCTAATAATTTTTTTTATTGAATTTGATGAACAAAAGAATAGAAATAAATCACGAGACACTTAAAAAATTTCTCGAGGCAAAATTTACTATCGCTCCGAGTATCAAATATTTATAATTTTTTAATTTTCTAAAATTTAAGTGTCTCGTCATTTATTTCTTCTTCTTTTGTTCATCAAATTCAATAAAAAAATTATTAGTTCGTTGATATTTATTTTTAGAGGTCGCTCGAAAACATAGGTAGGTACACGGTACACTACTTTGAAAGTTAAAATAATTATTATGAGTGACCTTTAGAAATTAAAATATCGATTTGAAATTTTCAGAATCGTGATTTTTTTCAACCAAGAAAATGATAAATTAACGAGAAAAAAATTTTAAAAAAATTTAATTTTTGACGATTTTGTAAATTTTTTAAATTGTTGAGCGACCTCTAAAAAATTTTTTTTTTGAGATGGTGTTTTGAGGGAGCTCTTAAAACATAATAAACTAACGTATTTTCACAAGAAACGCGGAAAAAATATTCCTTTTTTTTGGGCCATCCTACTATACATATATGTAAATATAAACATTCTTATTGGGTCTAAGAACCGAAATGAACATTAGGGCGGGTCTAGGAGTTCCAATAGTAGGTCCGCCCCTACAAAGCCTAGCCCGAGAACATCAAGGGCAGGTCAAAGATTTATAGCTAAAGCTAAGAAAGTGAAAGGTAATTCTGGGCGGTGAAGAGGTACACAGGTACCACCTATCGTACCTACTTTATAAGTTTTCTCTCTTCTTTTCTGCTTCCGTTGAAACACTGCACATGTGTCAATAAATAATAAATTATTAAAAGACAAACTCACAATTAACAGTGAAAAACAAGTAGGCGACTGAATTATATTTAAACAAATTTTCCAAATGAATGTATGAGTCTTTTTTTGACAAAAAAACATTTATAACTCTTTTTCCAGTATCTAGTAAGTAATAAAGGGACTATGTACTTATTTATTTTTCTTTCTTGGCGATTGTCTGTTCCCTTACAGAAAATACGAAGATATACACAAGCAGAATGGACGTACGGCATCACACCTTACCATAAAAAAACTATGAGTAAAAAGACCACAGATGTCGACCGTAGTCTCTCTACAGTGAAAAATGTACGGTGACGAATGTGTATATCACCGAATATGTATATTAAAACTGCAAGTCCGTCACCACAACGGCGCCTCACCTTAACTTTCCGCTAGTGCATAAGGGCCTGAAAAGTTCTATTACCTGTGACGCCTTCAATTTTAATTTCAGCTGGATGCCCTACCGCCGACAGTTCAATTCCGGAACCAGACACTGGTACCCTGGGCTGCGTATTTCCAGGACTAATCTTGCAGTTGAAAGGCGATCCCGGTACGGGTTGTCCATTGAACCTAAAATATCAGTCACCTGGTAATTGTTGCCACTACGCAAAAACACCATGTACTTACCTAACACTCAGAGTATGTGTGGCAGCTTCTGTCGGCTTAAAATTAACCTTAAATCTAGCGTTTCCCTCGCTTTGAACAAAATTGGGAACGTTTCTGCCTCCAACTGCCACGATGATCTCCAAGTTACCAGCACCAGCTTGCGATGCGTTGATACTGAAAGAAACGGGTTTTCCAACAATTCCATCAGTGATATCTGTCACAGTGACACGATTGGCATCATAAGCTTTTATAAGGAAAGGACTTCCTTCTATGTGTCCTGATGCCAAACGAACCTCAACGCTGTGGTCGCCTACGTCTATTGGTGTGAAGGTCACATCGAACTTCCCCTCCGTGTTTTCTTGGAGACTAACCTGGGGAGCATAAACTTTTTCATCTGCCCAAGAAGAATATCTTCTTCAAACTACCTGAACAACCAAAGGTCTACGAGCAGGTCCAAGGATCTCTACTACGGGAGGTGACGGACTCTCGACGACAAATGTGCAAGGTCGACCGACCGAGACTTTATCTAGGGTTTCAAGGGACAATATTCGCGCAGCAGGGACAACGTTGCACTTAAATGGGCTTCCGGGGACATCTTGACCGTTAAATCTCAAGTCAACGGAATGAACGGTGGCTTCTCTGGGTGTGAAAGATATAGCGTACGTGTGAGGACCCTGGGCTTGTGCTGAAGTTGGCACCAAACCTCCATTCACCGTTACTTCTAGGTTACCTGGACCAGCTTGGCTGGTTTCAACTGACATAATTTATTAATTATTATTAACAGTAATGAATAGTTTTATAAATTATACATTAACGATATTATTCAATTTACATTATATAAAAATTATTAATAAAAAAGTCACTACTCAGGATAAATAATTTCAAAGTTTACCTCGGAATATTCTAAGATTGTCAGTTCCAGTTTTAATATACAGTGTGTCTCCGGATGGGGTACCGCACTCTTGTGAACTTTTTTATTGTTGATTTTTCGAGATAAATTATTCTTGATAACAAGTTTTGCTTATCTTGGGAAGCAATGGTCAGTAATCAAATATGTAATAAAAAGTGCCTTTAATTTTTGTTTTCGTTAAAACTGTCTTTAACAAAGTTGTTCGAAAACCCAAGAATTGCTGAAATACGGGGATTACTCAGAAAAGAACAATAATCATATTTTTCAAATAAAAAGACGCCGCAATTTAACTATCTTATATACATAATTACCATGGATATTTCCTTATCAATGTCAAAGTCAACATATTTATTTTTTATTAAATGCCCACCCAATAATTTTTATTGATAATACTAACCTTAGAGCAAAGAATTTATGTTGAAATGTTATGGAATCGGTAATGTTTCATATTGATATGCAATACACATTTTTAATGAAAAGTATCCAAATGTAGCTGTAACTCGTAGAGCAGTTCGCAAGCTAATTATAAAATTCGATACCACTGGTGATGTATAAAATATTAAAAAGATAAAAAAAGAATACAGTGATATCTACTGTTGTAGTTATGGACTCTGTATAAGACAATCCAAAGATATCACTCAAGAAAACGTCAGAAAACAGAGATATTAACAGATTTCATATTCAAAGAATTTTAGTATACAACAAAATCTATCCATTCAAACCAGTCTTTAATCATAAATTGCTTGATGGAAATAATGGTCGTTATTTGGACTTTGGTTTACTAATGGGCGAGAAACTGATTGAAAACATATTCTTTCATCACAATGTTTTACTGATGAATCAATATTCGCAATAATGGTGTGGTTTTCTCTCAAAATTGTGGATACTGAGATAAAGATAATCCAAATTTTCTATTTTCGAACTAATAGTCAAAAATTAAAAAAAAATAAATGTCTGGTATGGCATAATGTATCATAAAATTATTGGTCCTTAGTTTTTGGAAGAAAATCTTAATCAAAATTCGAATTTGGAAATTCCCAATAATTTTATTTTGGCAGAACTATATAGCGAAAATTTAGAGTTCAGAAGAAAATTATATTTCAACAAAACGGATGCTCTGCACATTCCACACTTCTAATGAGAAACTGGCTTTATTTCCCGAACAAATTGATCGGACGCCATGTCGCGTGCAGGCCAATACATTGGCCAGCACGGACACCCGACTTATCCCCATTAGAGTATTTCTTATGGGGATTCCTAAAGCGAAAAGTGTATTCGAACGATTTTGACGATAACATTGATTTACTTAACCCAAAAATTTAGGGAGCTGTTGTCACCATAAACGAATAAATGATTTCGTCTGTGTACAAGGAATTTAGAAAATGATTAGTAAAATGTGTTGTACTTGGAGGTTTACAAGTTGAATAGGACTTGTTTCGTTGTTGTTAATTCAAGTTCTAATTTGTTATTTCTACCTTTTAATTAGAAAAGCTACTTTTATTTGGTCTACAGGCTACCGTGGCAGTTATTGGTAGAATAATTTCCGGGTCGGTTATCACGTGGTTTTTTGACGTTTCGAGAGACTCTTTTCAAAAACTCGAACACTTTCAGACTTAACTTCTGAGGAAAAGAGCGATATATATCTCTTGAAATGTCAAGAAACCTAAACCGACGCCGTGGCAACCAATCTGTAAATTGTTCTACCAAGCTATATTTGTATAACATTAAATTTGGAATAAAAGTTTACTTAGCTTTTACAATTTTTGTTTGCTTTAAATAAGATAGTTAAAAATCGAGTCTTCCTATTTGCAAAATGTGATTATTGTTCTTTTCTGACTGAAACTCGTATTTAAGCATTTCTTGAGTTCGCGAATAACTTTGTTAAATACAGTTTTTAACGATAACAAAAATTAAAGGCGCTTTGCTTAGAGAAAATTTCACATTCGGAAATTTTTCGGACGTCCTATATATTTTATTACACCCATATTTACTTTTTACTATACAGTAGCCCATGGCTGCCCAAGATAATCAAAACTTTTTATCAAGAATAACTTTTTGTCGAAATATCAACAATAAAAAAGTGTGATACCCCATCCAGGGAGTCCAGGGACACACTGTATTTATGTTTTGAATCGGTTTTTTCGTTTTCTTAAATAAGAAGTCACCTAATGCCAAAAAATAATGGGTGATTGTCAGTTCAAAATGACATAAAAATTGATAACATTTTTACATCAAAATATGTTTTAATTAAATAAAAAAAACAAATGTAACTCTTTTATTAAAAAAATAAATATACCAATACTTTAGTCTTCGCACTATACTAATATACAGGGTGTTTCAAAAATATGTCATTGTTCATGGAGAAATTCCAAAATTAAGACAAAAAGTTTCTTTTAAGATCATTTAATTTTTGTTTTTTTTTTCTAAGATCAAGGGTGTTAATACTTTATTGTTTTGATTTTTTTCAATGATGACTATTAAATAAAGTGTAATTTGGGTTGTGAAAAGATTTTAGAATAGTACCCATTTTATCAACAAAATGACTTATTTTAACACAGTCACACAAAATGGTGAAAATGACCACCATTAGCTGAATTTGATTTAAATTACTGATGTTGTTTCGGAAAAAACCATTCGAAACAACTGAAGAAATAAAAAATAACATCCTGTATCTCAGAGACAAAGTAATAATGCGCCCTTGTTGGAACTTTTTATGTTTTTAATTGACGAGCGCTACCTTATATTTTTTACAAGTTTATTATTTTTTTTGGAAATAAAGCACCGTAACATACAACCTATACGAGTAAATCATATAATAATCAGATCATTTCTCAACTCACCTAAGAATGTTACTGACTTTCCCACAATTCCACTGGCCGCCTCTTTAACCTTTATGGCCTGCACGTCGTAGACTTTAGCAGCATACGGACTACCAGCAGTTGGAATACCATTGACGCTTACATTGATGCGATGCTCTCCAACAACCCTGGGCACAAACTCTGCCCTGAATTGGCCGTTTCCCAAGGGCTGTACCTGCGTAGGCACCGCTTGGCCGCCAGGTCCTGGACGATTCGTCGTGAATGTCAGTCATACGAAAGGATAATATGGAAGGTTGGTGAGGAAGGAAATAGATTTAAGGACAAACAGGACTAGTGCTGTTTAGTTAAGCATTTGTGAATAAATCAATACGTATGGCAACGAGTATTACATAGTTCTCTTGCTTCGATTTGGAATGTTTTTCCTTTCCATCTATTGATAGGTAGGTATATTCAAGCAATACAGTCGTATTACTAGATGACATAATTGCAAACTGTAATGTATCAAAATATACCCATCTCTAGACATGTTAAACAAAACTAACCACGATCATCTTCATGGGATGCGGGTGACCTTTCTGTGCTTTGTGCATCCAATTAATGAACAAAGTTGCCTTTTAATTAATAATATTATCCATTACTTTTACAGGCGCCCATTAAACCAATGCATTACAATACCCACTATGGATATAATCTTTTGTTATAATGGTCATGATCTACATCATTAACTGTGTCTTATTTACTGTTTTCTCATTTTAATCATATCTTATATTATTGCTTTAATCTCGGCCACTAAATCTAAGCGAATGCAAATACTGTTAAAATATTGTTTAGTTAAATCTCAGGATTTTCTTAAGGATGATTTTATTTCTGTTACCCTTATACTATAGTAATTATTTGGTAGTTATTTTATCTTAACTTTATGCCCTGATAAACAGAATTGTAGGCATTTGAAGTTATATCGTAGCGTTCTAAAAAATTACTATTCCTTATGTATGTGGTATGGTTTGTTATTACAGGGTATACCAATGACGTTATGAGAAATTGTCAGGACTGATACATTTCACCAAACACGAAAAACCAGAGTAACATTTTTTTTGCTAGAAGATTCCTAAGGGTTCCAAGATTTTCAAAATTTCACAGCCTCCTACCATTAAAGATACGATATTAGTATCTGTAATGGTAGGAGTATAAATAGTTTCTGTTTGTAAAATTAAAATTATCCAGTGTTGACGCAATTAAGAAGAATTCGAGGTGTATAGCTCAAACGAAATGTCAATGTTGCAGCAAATCTTATTTTACTGATTGTTCACTTGTAAAAGCTGCCGAAATTACGTTAAAAACTCATCAGCTGATCACATAAAAGGACAATTAAATTTTATTGTAATAGACGAATTTCGAGCACTATTCCAGAGGAAAATTTAAAAAAGTAAAGAAATGTAAAATTTTAAAAAGTTTCCGTTGAAAAAAATTGAATTATTAATCGTTCCGATTTTATTTAGAGAGCAGTTGAATTTGAGTTTTTTTTAAATCAAAGTACCTATAGCTTCGTTACTTATAATCCGATTGAAAAAATTCTTGAACATTTCTGATGTAAATTTTTGTGTTATTCTCAGTGGTATAGTTCTTCTTTATTAACCCACAGTTTTAGAGAACTCTGGCCATATTGAGTTTTATAAAAAATAATGTTTACTGTTATACGTGTTAGGTACCTACATAATATTTAAGCAAAGGAAAATTTATCAATGAGATTACAAAGAACGGAAACAATTTCGCTTTTTTTATAGGATCCAAATGAATAGAAATTCAATTGCTGTCTCTGGGGAATCATAATAAGCATTGAATTCTGGGTTGCTTTGCCAATTAGAGGTTTTCTTTATCTCTAATACAGAAATCCTTCTGATAATCAAACTTATTTCGGTATGTTAAAAATCAACTATTTTGCATTGTTTTTAGGCTTTTAACTATCAACGAACTACAAAAAATCAAGAAATATAAATTTTGATCAAACATCATTCTCAAATTTCTAAAAGAACATTCTCTGTGACATTGACTACCTTTTTCTTATTATGATACCCCTCGGACTCTCTTATAATTCCAATTGAATTGATTGATTTTTCTTATAATTAAACTATTAAGAGAAAATATAAGTACTATATCTCATGAATTAGTCCTGAAAATTTCTTTCGACTTCGTTGCTAGGTAAACCTTCTTTGTATCAGCAAAATTCGTAGTAATTTCTATAGACATTACAATAAAACTGAAGAAATTGTTTCTTATTGCCTCTTCTGCTATTAAGTGCAATATAAGCTAATAAAATAAAAAAGTGTAACTTTTCCTATTATTAATTTCTACTTTAGATATATGAAAACTTAAATTGGTATATTTTCTTCATGTAATTCCATGTTTTTTTTCTCTATATTTTCAAATAAATATTTTCAGACAATACTTGTACGCTGTGTAAAAATGATACTATCTGAATTAATATGTACACCCTAAGAACTATGTAAGTTTTACAAAATAGTTTCACATTATTATTTTAACAATATTGTGTTCTGTATGTAAATTTGTTTACACAATGTACTCATGTATGCCTACAAAGTAAATACTTACCCGAGGAACTACTAACAAGCTAGTGAAAAAGCCAAAAAAACAGATGGTTTAGTAAGAGCAAATAGATATTGGACATGAAAAAACCACAACCAGTATTAATACAGAGAAAAGAAAGTACGTTAGTAGGAAACCTCGTTCTGTTGCATGTTTATTCAATGCTGCGCGTTTTTATTAAGTTTTTAATACCGGAATTTGTGTCGAATATTTTACATATTGTAATATATTACCTGCGATTTATTTAATAGGACAGGAAACCGTTACACGAGATGGGTTTGTCCATCGCAAATTATCATCAAAGAACTAGAGCAGTTAAAAGTAATTGAGTCACATTGCAATATCTTGTTTGTTATTTTTTTGGCATAACTAAATAAAATAGTTTATAAATATTATTTAGTTATCATATGCTCAATTAAAGTTTATTTTATTACTGTTTATTTTATTTCTAGCTGTATTTTCATACTTTCTATTTGTAAATTATTTAGAACAAGAATATTTGGGTTTGTTACTTCCCACTTTTCTGCACTAAACGATTTAGGGTCTTAAATGTGGGAGTAAATATTTACATTTAAATATTAGCGTTGAGAAAAATCGGTGTCATTGTTTTTATTTATACTAAACTAAAATACATGACTAAGCCGTTTCAAATTTAACCTACCATTAATTTAAAGTACCAAAAACTTTACTATAACGTTTTCTCGTTGCATATTGCTAGGATGCGTCATTTTTAAAATAAATGTGAAAAAAGTTGGTTGAAATAATAACTCGAATCTGTTATCTATGAATTAAATAAAATATTGTGGATTCCTTCACCTTTCGTTTGTATTATAACTTTAATTTTGCATGTCGATAATGAAATATTTCCAGATATATACGAGTACACAACTTTTTTATTAAATCGTGACATTAAATTCGATATTATTAGTTAGACTAGTATTTTCGTCGCTTTTTGCACTAAATACTGCATATTTATGTTTATGGTTTTTAAAATATATCTTTGCTTTGAAATATTTAAATGTGATACATTAAATATAAATATAAAACAAATTAGATTCATTTATTATGAGCTTTTAGCTTTTAAGGATATGCTTGAAGGATATGACCATATTTCTTCAGGATACACCACGATACAGTTTTACCCTCGATTTTTCGTCTTGTTTAAGGGTTATTGAATATCTAATAAGAAATATTTTTCGAATTTTTCACTATTTTTCACTTTGTTAATTAGAAAAGTGTATACAAATTTTTTTTAATATTCCAAATGAAATTATAAATCCATTTAAAAAAAAATCAAAGCATGCTGTCACTTTTATGTTAATCCTAGAAATCCAAATTTAACTTATTATTACCATTATTCCCCTTAGAATGCTTTAAACAATAACAAAGGTCACTTGATTAACTTGATATTTTCTTAGGAACAGCTGTAGACCTATTCTAACTTAACTGATAATTCTACATACATATTTCGTAGGAGTTGGTTTCGTGGGTTAAGGTCAATTATTCAACTGGCGGCGACAAATAGGAAATAATGTGATATGAAGCCAAGTGACACGCTCAAGATAACGCTCTTGGATCGGTAATTATATTTTCAAGGTCACTTAATGAGCCAACAACTACATACTTCTGTGAACTCAATTAAAAATACGTTACTGTAATTACCACCCAAGCGTGATGGTCAACTGTTTTGTATCTATTTTTGTTATCATATGCTTCTAGAAAATTATGTCTACCATCGCTGTGCAAGTATAATAACAAGTGATTTAAATATTTCTTTGTTTTAATTTTTCTCTTAACATAGTTAAGTTTACCGTTAGAGTAGAAAAGAGGAAAAATATTTTTATTATAATAGGTATTATATTGTAAATATTACTAACAATTTTTGTTAATTTTTAAAACAAGTTTTCGATGAAGGTTTTTAAATTTGCATATACAGAGTGTTCAGTATAAGAGTGCATCGCCTTTAATTTTAAACTACACAAAAATGTTGTTTAATATAGGTTCGAAGTTATGTCTGAATTTTAGAATAAAATAAAGGAAATTGTTGGGTAGAATAAAATTTGGGATTAAAAAACCGTCAAATTAAAAAGTTGGCTTGATGGTTTACTCGCTGTGCAATCGTTTAAACATAACTTATTAAAAAATTAAAATAAAAATAAAATGCGAGAAAACGAGAGGCACTAATTTTTTTCAATTAAGGTATAAACTTTTCTTTATAAATTGGAAGCATATGGATAGAGATCTTTTAGCTATACAAACAGTGGCGGCTCTTGACTTTCATACCAGGGAGGGCGGAAAAATTTAGGTAGAAAGTATTGAAAAAAAAATTAAATATAATTGGAGTTTTATTTTAAGTGCTATAGAAATAGAGGGAAATGTGATCAATATTATTTTTTAAAGTAAAAGTCCATTCTCCTATTTTTGTCCCAAATAAACTTTTCAATTATTTTTCCATTAAAGTTTGGTATTTCTTGCATCATTTATTTTTCAATAGATAGCATTAATGTTAGTCTGCCTTTACAATTAATTAAACCTTAACAGTCTTTTAAAAAAACACAAGAAGCAATACGTAAGTAACACTACACCTGAATAAATTACGTTTAATAATTAAAAAAGCCGTGAATAGCTACTATTTGGTT